GTGGTCACCACCATTAAGATTAATTGGATTTCTTTCTACCACTTGTGCTAAGCCACTCGTTTGATTATTAAGAAGGTTAATTAAATGGATAAATCTTCTTTTTTAGTTTAATTATTAAGAATATATTAGTTAATTTAACTAGTAAAGATTTTTTAGTAATATAAGATCTTAGCCTCTCTTCTCATAGATAGATTAAAGAATTATTTTACTGCAAGGATATAAAAAGAGCGGCAACTTGAAATTGACTAATGTAAAGGAAGATAGATAGATAGATTCGAGCTTAGATTAGGTGGGACACAGTATTTAGTTAAAACATATAGGAAGAAAGGACAGAGGAATAGGTTGGAAGCAAATTGCAAGAGTCATTGGCAGCAATGGTTGACAATGAGGAGTTGGTGTGTGTTTTAGATCAGCATCGGTGGTAGAGACGACTCTCGGTTAATGTCCGCATGCACGTCTCCCTCGCATAGACGCAATCGTGAGAGATAAACAATAATAATACTAAGAATAAGACACATGTGGTGCAGCTCTCTTCTCCTTCTCCTCCCTCCCTCTTTATATGGGCATTTGCGAGCTCTTGATCATTGTACTCACTCTTCCATTTGGGGGTCTTCTTCTTCTTCTGCTGCTGCTGCTGCTGCTTTATCTTCTTCACAGGAATGACTAGGCCTCCTCCTCCGAGTCATGAGTAACACAAAGGTCCCGAGAGCGAAGGTTATGTATCACCAAGTCTATGACAGAGGATAAGAACAGAAGCCTCTTCGACTGCTGTTTGTGTTCTGTGTTCTTTCTTTTCCTTTCTTCTTCTTCTTCTTCTTCTCTTTCTGTCAGTTTGGTGATGACACAAGTTTGATGTACTCTTTGGATTCGCTTGGTTCGTAGTCCAAACTTGTAGATATCAAACCCCTTGTAGTTCCTTCATAAAAGCTTCTTCCTATGGGGAAGGGCCTGATACTGAAGACACTGGAGCGGTGCCGGTCGCTGGGGAGCCACAGGAAGGGAGACCAGAAGCGACAGATGCCACCGGAGGGTTGCTTCTCGGTGTACGTCGGGCCGGAGAGGGAGCGGTACGTGGTCCGCACCGAGTGCGTCAACCACCCGCTGTTCCGGATGCTGCTCGACGAGGCGGAGGAGGAGTTCGGGTACGCCGCCGCCGGGCCGCTCGAGCTCCCCTGCGGCGTCGAGCTCTTCCAAAGGGTGCTGTGCGAGGTGGAGCAGGACGCGGCGGAGCTGCACTCGCCTCGGTGCAACTTCGCCAAAGGCCACGCCGGCGGCTACCTCCTGCATAGCCCGGCACGGCCGCTGATAGCCGGGCGTGTTTAGATGACCACACGTGCATGGCCATGCTATATGTACGTATATGATGTGTTTGCTTTCCTTGTGTCTGTAATCACCTTAAAAGGGTCTCCTCTCCACTTCGTTTTTAGTACGGTAGAGATGGTGAAGCCTCGTCGTGGACTTTTGAAGCATGCGATGTAGAAGATGTGATCGATAGCTTGTTGTGATGCGTATGTTTCTTGATCTGTTCTGGGCATTATTATTACTGTGATAGGCCGGCAGTGTTCGATCGAATGATGCATGTTATAAGTAATTATTTGGATCGAACAAGAAATTAGATCTACTTACAATCTTTGTTCGTATAATAATGAATAGCTTTGTCAACTGTGTTCTCCACCTCACAACTATGATATTATTCGCAATAGAGGCAAAATAGACACACAAATTGGGAACAGCAACCGAATGCAGTACAGGAATACTTGTAATCATACATTACAGGAAAACTTGTTACCAGAAAGCTGCAACCTCCTTGGACTGCAGCAGCAATGTCTTTGGCAGAAGGATGCAAGGCAACAGCTCCAAATTATGTGCTTGTCGAAAACCACCTGCATCTTGCTTGCTCTTACTGATGAGTGAAAGCTCACCAATTGCTGTGCGCATTCCCTTTGTTCAATTATGAATATGGATCAGTAAACATGCAAACATCAGCAGTAAGCCAGGCTTCAATTGTTGCTCCCAGTATCCTGTGTATTGCATCATTAGCGTTTGGAGTCCAGAAGGGTTTCTTTTCGAGGGTGCACCTTGCTGCATAGACGGCAGAGGCAGCAGCCAAGGATGGGCAATAGGTGACCATGGAGTAGTGCATCAGTCCTAGCTCAGAGAAGAAGAAGAAGACCACCTGCTCCAGCCGGGATGTTTTCTTGGACTCGGTACAAGCGTAGATCGGAGGCATAGTTAGTCTTTAAGGTTCCCGCGGACGATGGCCCATAATGGTCACAATGATCCTTTGGACGGATTCAAGGAGGCCCAACACACGAACTGACGGTCCTGATTACAGATCTAACGTGGGGTCCTTTTGCAATTCGGCGGTCATCATTCACATACTGCCGAACTCGCCTAATGCCGCTGCTACTACTACGAGAATGAAATTTAAGATATTGAAAACTTGTCGAGATGAAACTAAATATAAATGCTCGCATTTCTAGAATTAATTGTATACTTGATAAAAAAAAATAATCCTAGTACTAAAATTAATATTCTTCCTAAATTAGTTTTACATATACCCGAAAGAAATATAACCCATCGTCATCTTTAAAAGTGATAGTTTGATGATATCCGATGATCATATTGTCCGACATCAACTTCTTGGATACTCATTTTTTACAATTTATATTTTAATGACATAATTAATAATTTTGGCACAAGTGATGAGGCATAATTAGAGTTCCCC